GCTGAGATAAGATGATGGTTAGAGATAGTTAACAGGTAACCGTGGTCGATAAGATTTGATCTGTACTAAGAAGGATCTGATAGATATAAAAGTGATCACCACCCAGTGATCAATCAATTGTAAATATATCTCAGTCTTACAGGAGGTCAGTTGAGGCTTGGATAGCTCAGTGATAACATCTCTAACTATGAATCTGAGTGACACGAGATCGAATTCATCGGAAAGCATCAGGTTCCTCAAGATTACGCTTACAGATAGATGACGAGTGCCAAAATAGCACGAAACCTAGGTCCAGGGTTCCCTGTAAACTATCTCTAACCACTATCTTATCCCAACAGAATTATCCGGATTTTGTAACAGTTTAAATATAAAAAATTTCAAGTACAAAATACTTTTTTAACTAATTAGTCAACAATTCAAACTATCGTGCACCTGAGAATATCGTCAATATCATCCGGAACTCATATGATGGACTACACTGCAAGGAAGGGCATGGAGGACATCTAGCGGATACATTGCAAGTAAGGACCAGAGTCTGACAAGACTGTTTACTATACCCCTTCTTCTTTCTTCTGGTGGTCGACTGGATTATGAAGATCTTGACATCTGAGTGAAATCATGGAACAAAACTAACAGCTCGGAATCAATTCGAAGATTTGAACTTCCCAGATGACCTGGCCATCCTATCCCATACACACGAACAAATGCAGAGAAAGACAACTAGTGTAGCAGCAACCCCTGCATCAGTAAAAAGGAAAAAAGCAAGATCTTCAAATGCAACACGTAGAACACCAACCGAATCACACTTGATGGCGAAACTCTGGAAGAGGTTAAATCCTTCACGTATCTGGGTAGTATCATCGATGAACAAGGAGGATTTGATGCAGACTCAAAAGCGAGAATCGGCAAAGCAAGGACCGCATTCTTATAATTGAAGAATATATGGAACTCAAAACGCCTGTCTATCAACCAATATCAAAATCAGAATCTTCAATACGAACGTCAAGGCAGTGAGTTCTATTGTACGGAGCTGAAACTTTGAGAACTACTACTACAACCATCATGAAGAAGGTACTAGTATTTATAAATGTATATCTGCACAAAATATTCAATATTCGTTCACTGGATACCATAAACAATGACCTACTGTAGGAGAGAACAAACCAGCTTCCAGTTGAATAGGAAATGAGGAAAAGACGTTAGAAGTGGATAGGACATACAATGAGGAAATCAACAAACTGTATCAAGAAACAAGCACTAACATGGAATTCTAAATGGAAAAGTTAAAGAGGAAGACCAAAGAACACATTGCGTTGATAATTGGAAGAAAACATGGGAAGGATGAATAGGAAGTGGACAGGATTTTCCAGGACAGAGTTGGATAGAGAATGCTGGTAATCAGTATATGTTCTTCAATGGAGGAAGGTAACAGGCGTAAGTAAGTAATATCTAATTAAGCCACTTGATAGTAAGTTAACAACAAGTCAATGGTTACTTACATTTTAAATTAAACACCTTAATTAAAATTTATCACTTAAAGGGAGAATTAATTTTTGAAGAAATAAGTGGCTATTTTAAAGCAAACTGACTGGAATCAGTAATCATTTCATTTGGAAAGATTCAAACAACCTGTACAAATCAATTAAACTTTATTCCATTGCACAAGCAATTGGATATCAGGACTCAGTAGTTAATTGAACAACGTGATGTCATTTGAAGCGAACGGTACTGTGTTCAAGTACCAAAGAAAATATCAACATGTCTAGAATGCTCTGTTCATTCAACTAACAAGTCCCAATCCAGGTGAAACACTCATCTTCTATTCCACTCTTAGTCACTTTATTATCTTGGCTTATAAAGAAAAAAAATCAATATAAAGAGAAAAAAAAACAATAGTTTATTTGAAAGGTTATTCAATCATCCAAATCACCGTCATCATCATCATCATTTAAACAAAGAATCTCGCTGGGGAGATCGTGAATGCGCACTGCTGAGGAGTCCCATACTAGGACGAAATAGTCATCTATTACTTCCAAGTTTTCCATGGTGATCTAGCTTCAATTGACTCATGAATTCAACTATTGAAAAAATAAATGGTTAATTAGTGATTTTGTTTTTCTTCCTTTTTTTTCTCTCTTTTATCACCTTTTGTCATTTGTTTTAATTTGTTTCATTTAAGTTCAACAAAAACGTATCATTAACAGTTAATTACGAAACAAAATGATAAGTTTCATTTTTTTTTCTTTTACAAGTAATCATTAATTTCTTCTCTTTTTTTCTTTCTTTTACCTGCTCTATTCTTTACAATAACTCCTCCCTTTCTGATAATATTTATATCTTTTTTGAACTAAATATCCCACGCCACTCCCACCCCCTATCTGACCCAGTAATCTTTTACCTGCTTTATTCTTTACAATACCCCCCTTTTTTTCTGGCAATATTTTTTATCTTTTTTGAACTAAATATCCCACGCCACTCCCACCCCATATCCGACCCAGTAATTTTTTATTTATTTAAGGTCAAAATATTCATCATATTTATTATTTTGTATGTTGCTATGACTTTTATTTACTGGAAAAAGTTCAACATTCAAACAAAATTATACTAATAATTAAAATAAAATAGAATAGTTATTTATTAAAGTGTCAATTTTGTTTGGGGCGAGGAGGTGAGGTGGGGGGAGTGGTTTATGGAAGTGGGGGATCATTTTAAAAAATTTAGAATGAGATCATTCATTCATTGTTTTAATTAATTGGAATCATGCCAAATATAAATTAGCAGAGAAATGTTTTATAATAAGTCAATTGAAACTAGATCACCACCATGGAAAACCTGGAGACATTAGATGACCATATAGTGGATACACACTGTTAAAGAATTCAATAGTAGAAAGAAACGGTCATCTAGTGCTTCTAGGTTTTCCATTGTGATCTAGTTTCAATTGACTTATGAATTCAACTATTAAATTAAATAGAAATTAGTCTAATTCTCTCAAGATTATTCTGTGAAGGGGACTGGAATGATAAAATAATGATAATAATTATTATTCTCATTATAAATTCACTTCGTATTGTTGTTCACTTGAATCTTCCCATTGATGTTTAGAACTGCAAATGATCATTCTTATTGGCATATATGCATATTGTGCGTATATTCTCATTGTTGCCTTAATTCACAAGCATTATAAACAAAGATGGATGGATAGTGGCTAGCAATAGAATCCAGTTTAATGAGCGTTTTGTTCTATTTGAGACTCGTCAGTTTGATGTGCTTATAATATCTCAGAGTTGATAGTCACTCTGGAACTTGAAACCAGCACCGTTTGTTTCAAACACCATCACCTTATCCATTTCAGCTACTGAGTCCTGATAGTAACTAGCTTTTGAAATGAGATGAAGTCTACCTAATAGCTCTTTTGTATTAGTATGAAACTTTTCAGCAATACAAACTAATGATAGTCGATTTGTTAATAGATTCAAGAATAAATTCTAAAGTTCCAGTACTCAATAGTAACTAATAGAGTATATACATATCACGACTAACACAATATATTCCATGGTAATGGATGATAATTGCCCAATATTATTTAACATCAAAATATAGACAGTTCTGATGGTAATGTGTTTAGTGTGAGAACCTAAAGTGTTAGATTTGATTCCTGGTGAAATGTCATAAGCACACTCCCCAGTATTCCATGTCTTTTTAATCGTTACTTTGTTTCATTAATTTTATAATGTGGGCTACCAATATTAATAAGAACAACATCAATGCCTAATATATAACTTACATACTTACGCCTGTTACTCTCAATGGAGCAGAGACCGCCGACCAGCACTCTCTAACCCACTCTATCCTGACCCTTTCTTTCTAGTTCTATCCACTTTTTGTTCATTCTTCTCATGTCTATCTCCATTTCTCAGTGTAATGTGTTCTCTGGTCTTCCTCTTCCCCTTTTATCTTGAAGATCCCACGTGAGGGCTTGTCTTGTGACACGGTTGGATGCTTTCCTCAATGTGTGTCCTATACACTTCCAGTGCTTCTTCTTAATTTCTTCCTCCTCTGGAATCTGGTTTGTTCTCTCCCACAGCAGGTTGTGGCTGATAATGTCTGTCCAAAGGATCCGAAGTATTTTGTGTAAATAACTGTTAATAAGCATTTGTATATTCGGGATGATGGTTTTCGTAGTTCTCCAGGTTTCCAGCGCATACAGTAGAACTGTCTTGACATTTGTATTGAAAATTCTGACTTTGGTGTTGGTTGACAGACAGTTGTTTTGAGTTCCTATCGTGATGAAGCAATCGAGCTATATTGGCTGGAACAATCGTTCTACAAGGTCTTATCATGCCAGACAGGTCGGTTGAAGAGTGGTAAGAATAAAAGCAGCAAACCCAAGCTGACTGTATAGCAATGCTGGCTTCCCACAATGAGGGTCTGGGGTAGAAAAGGTTGACCCTAAAAATGCACACGTTGCCTTATCTCACGTATGTCCGTCTCCGGCAGTAAGGTTTCAACAAATACGGAGCTAATGCGAAAATTACCCACAAAAAGGTCGTGTATGACCGACATCAAGCATTTGTCCTTTAAGCACTGCGGTTACGCTCTCAGGTCACTAAGATCACCTCTAAGCCAATTTCCTTTTCAGGTACCTTCAGAAGAACCTTTCCACGGTTTGGGCAACCAGGAGATGATAACCGCCCTCATACCTTTAGCAGCACTCGAGACCATTGTATTCATAATCAACCTCCTTCTTCAATTCCTATCATTCCTCCTACATCGACTCCCAACTCTGAACTTCCCTGGTTGGTGTATGTGCACACTTCTTATCCAGTATTCATCTTTAAACTTTAAATAAAACGCGTTAATAGTAGTAGTGAAGACGATTACATAACACTCTCTAGTGTGTAATGTTAATACACATGGCAACAGTTATTCCAATGAATATGACAGTTTCATATCATGTGATGTATTTCCTTTTTCTTTTTCATTTATTTTAAATCTAGATATGGAATGATTACCATTTCTTATGGAATCCTAAAGAGTTTGGTAATATAACTACCTTAAACTTACCATATACTGCTGTATGGAGACCAGATATCCTGTTGTATAATTGGTAAATGAATGATTTATTAGCATTGATTCACTTATTAGATTTCGTTCCCAGTATATGATTACGTAATTTTAATTGATGAATAGATTTTTCATGTTTATTTCAGGTGAAGAGGGTATCTTTTAGGTTTTGGAAATGTTAGCGCTAAATTCAAAGTAGAGTAATAATCAGCAGTTCAACAAACTAATCAATCACTGAATAAGATACGTTAGTGGAATTCAGCGGCACCAAATATATATGCGCCACACAAGTCACTTGATCTGTGTGTGTGCTGTGATATTGCCCGGGTGTCCAGATTGAAGCAGGTAGTTTTCTTGGGGGACCACACCCGGAACCGTCGACGTAAAGGTTTGATCCACAAGGCAGTGGAGCAACGTGAGGAAATACGGTCTCATGGTAGCCGTTGACCAACGATTGATTCATATGACATTTATCCCTTCATTATTCTGGAGTCCATGTGCACCATTGGTTTGGAATCAGGATTTTCCAACTCCCCTAAGTGGACTCTCCGTGTCCACTAACCCGGTTAAAGCCCCCACCGGCCATTCGCAGTTCGTCCTCTCAATTTCGTAACCAACAGCCGTGATGCGAGAAGGCAGTGAGTACAACTTCCGTGGAGTAATAATATACATACAAGACTGACCACATCGTACCATAAAATAGAAAATACACATTTGTAAAAGATCAAGCCAGAAGTGGCTGTGAGTGTGGGAGACTGTAATTAATGAACTGGACATAACTCAAGAATGGCAAATCGTATAATAATAAATTACAGGTCAAAATGATGCTTACAATAAGAGGAACATGAGTATGAATAGTTTAGTAACATAACAATTATACAATAAAAAGATATATTTATCGTATTGGTCCATAACTGGGTCCCAAAAGTTACCATTCATTATTCTAATCGGAATATAACAAGTACATTGATAAATAAACTGGTAAATGTTAGCTGACAACATCGACAATGAGCACTTGTAACTAATGGACAGAGTACCACTATCGTCTAACTAAGAGCGTGACATCAATGACATGAAAGTATCCATCTACATCAATAGTACCATTCCACAGATGTGAATACACGTATTAAAAAAGTATTACACAATTTGTTTTCTACATGATTCATATGTGACCAACTTTTTAATCAGTCATCCCATGAAGTATGCAAGTAAGTAAATTACTAGGTCGGTTAAATCATCAATATTGATCTTCTTTCACTTTCAGGTTTATTAAACCACAAATACCGTTCTATTCTGTGTATTCGATGTGAAAGTGTCATTGGTTAAGATCTAACACGAAAGCTTCGCCAGTACAAAGATGATGAATTCAAGTGTTAAAAACTGAAAGATTTATAAATGATAGAAGTTATGCAATCTAGAATATTATCATCTTGTTACTTCAAATACAGTTGTTTTTTTTTGGCGTTTTTTAAAATTTAGTGCGGATGAGAAATTCGATCGTACATTTCCAACAAATACAATCATAAAACATGATGGTACTGTTCAATGGATGCCACCGGGATTGTTTAAATCTACATGTAATATAGACATTTTATGGTTTCCATTCGATGAACAGGTAAATGGCAATAGTTTTAATAGTTAAATTCATGGAATGATGAAAGCTAGATCATCAAGGAGGACCTGAAATCACTGGAGGGTCATTTCATCCTAGTATGGTACTTCTCAGTAGCATGCACCCATAGTCTTGCTCACAGGATTCGAATCCAGGACCTTCGCTCAACCTCTAGACCATTGAGCTGGCCGACACTTGACGCTATTAATGTCTAACTTTCATTGATCCATAAATAACTGCGCGACCATTCATCAATTGTCTGAAGTAGATACCTGTCTCTACTCGATACATATTAAACTCCACTGGTCACGGTTTCTCACTAGAACTCAGGAACTCATCTTGAAGCCAGTCACTAGTGTGCACATAATGATTATGCTCCGGATGGTTTTTTTGTGTGTGGAGAATTTAGTCATTTTATATGGTTGAATTCATGAGTCAGGTCTATAAGATAAATAATAATTGACTACTTATTAACCATTCAAACTTCTTCATTTGTTTCATTCATTACGTTCACTCTGTATGACTAAATTAAGAATTCAAGGTTTATATAATCATGATAGAGACAGTGATCAATAAAGCTCATCCATATCTGACAGATAACGTTCTCAATGTTATTGTATCTCTTAAAGAGTTCGAACATTCAGGGTTCAATCTAGTAGTGAAGGTAATTGAAGAGTATAGATTAGTTAGATATATCTTTGATATTGTTCCATGGTATCAAAAGATTCTTGTATTATTTATATAAACCTTTCATTACATCATATGAATATCAATCAAGTTAGTTATATGCTTAACCATAGACTAAAACGATCATTAAAAGTAGGAGATTGTCAAATTGAAGTTAATAAAGTGTTGAATATCTTATCATTGTGATAACTTAAACAAACTTCTCTGTATGATTCTCTGTATGGTTTTAACTGTAATAATAAGAATAAGAATAATCGTATTGAACCATGTGACGAACAAACCACTAAGAGAATTTAAAGAATAGTTAAGGTAAATTACAATGTTCCAGTAGAGTGAATCTGTATTGTCGGTTATGATGTGAAGCCCATATATCTTATTCTAGCTTTCGGATAACCCATTCTATTCATTCTACTTGAGTCACATTCTGATCTTGTTGTTAATTACTCGCTTATCAATCTTTATATGAGTGCGTTATTGTGTATACACTTCATATTCCATTATTCGTTACATGTCTGTAACTTATTTTTGTGCGACTATAAATATTGATTAACGCCTGACTAAATGGAAGTTGGCTTACCAGCCATCTCCACTCTGTGTTGTTTCTCTTCTCTCTATCCCATTCGCTTTATTTACAAAATATATGTATTCAATAGTTGATTCTCGTTATTTGACTTATCTAAATTCCGTTATTGACTAACGCGATGATTATAAACGAGGATAGGCGACATACATATTTCAACAACAATCATCATTACGATCATCATGAAGTCAGATCTCGGGCCTCTAAAGTGGAGAGCCCGTTCAGACAACATCGTTCGATCTAAATGACGATTAAATAACGGGTCTTCACAAAAAATCATACAATTAGATTCAGTATTACATAGTTATATTCTGTTTAATTTATCTAATAAACAGTTTAATATGAGAAAAGCGTTTCTTCGGATTCTGTTTCACATCATGATAAGTCTTGCTAATTGAATGTTAGATTTGGTTCCTTATACTCTTCTAGTAACCCTTAGGTTAAATCCACAATAACAACTTGAACATAAGAGAAGAAATGCTTGACTCTAAAGGTTCGTTTATGTATAGAATATCTAGGGGTATTTATGGTATTTTAGATGATCTTTTGCTTTCAAAAAGTTCTGGAACGCTACTAGACATAGTAGTAATAGTATAGGTAATCATCCAATCAGAAACGGGATATATGACATTTCACTTTCTAGATGTTTCTGGCTAAACTTCGATTGAATGCTGATTGGATAAGAAGTTTCTCAGAGTTTTCAGAGCCTTCTTTAAAGTATTTTTCTGGATCTATCCAACATTTTAAAATGATAAATATGAAAAGATTGACTTTGGTTCTATGATTTAGAAGAAACTTTCAGATTAGCAAAACTTGAAGTCTCTGGGTTCATTATTTAATGAGGTCATGTGATCCATTACTATGAAGTCTAAGACTGAGACTAAATCAACTCCAGTTTTTACCAATCTAGACAAAATCTCAATAAATTCGAGTCTTAATTTAGTTGATTGATAAGAAATTTCAGGAATACATAGTAGAACGAATCTGGTTCCTAATTCTCCCCGTCGACCCAGATGTTTATCACTATTCTGTTTGTGAGCAGTGTCTTTTACAAATATGATATTTTAATAACCAGATTCATGAGTTGCTTAAAAATAGACCATCATAGGAAACCTGGAGACACTGAACGGCCGTCTCATCCTAGTATGGGACTCCTCAGCAGTGCGTATTCACGACCCCACTCGCGAGATTTGAACCCAGAACCTATCAATCTCGGGTGCGAACGCTTAACCTCTAGACCACTGAGCTAATTAGCATCAAACAGTGTTAATGTATAACTTCAAACAGTCCATTAAGCTGCGCCACCGTCGACCGTTGTCATCAGTGAGTTACTGTCTCACAACAGACGCGGTTGAACTCCACTTGTCACGGCTTCTCACTAGAACTCCAGGAGATACTTCTTGGAGAACTTCACTAATGTTATTAACATAATACTATGAATTAGATTGAGGAATCCATTTTTGTATTGTTCGTTCGAATCTTCCACTGATGTTTAGGACTAAAATCGATCAGTCTTTTATTGGGATATGTAGGAAGATTCAAACAAACCATACATAAATGATTTAAAACTTCACCTCATTACACAACCTAATGGCTATTTGAGCTCAGTAGCTCAATGGATAACGTGATGGCATTTGAAGCATGTGGTAGTAGGTTTGAGTCGTAGAGTAACATATCAACTCTGAGATTCAAGTATACCGAGCTGACGAACCCCAAGTAGGACGAAATGCTACTGACCATTATCCATTCATCTTTGTTGCAAATTGAAGAATTGTGTTCAAATAAGCTGTGCTACTTAGTTAAATTCAGTAGCCCAATAAAATTATTAAAATTAACTTTTGAATTTTTTTCATTGAAGAGTTGTATATTAAAATTTGGAAGTTGGACATATTATGGTGATCAAATTAATTTTCAATTACAATGTATCAATGCATCACAACCTGATTGTACACAAGTTGGAACGGTTGATTTATCTGAATATTCACGTAATGGAGAATTTCATCTTAGTGGTAAGGAGATTCAGTATTTCTTTTATTTATTAAAGAAAAAAAAACACTTGTGTGTACGTTGTGGTAGACCAATACAGTAGCAGGGTTATTGTTTAATAATGTATAGAATTAGTTACTAACTTACTTACTTACTTACTTACTTACTTACGTCTGTTAATCCTAATGGAGCATAGGCCGCCGACCAGCATTCTCTTACCCACTCTATCCTGAGCCTTTCTTTCTAGTTCTATCTAATTATGTTCATTCTTTTCATGTCTTTCTCCATTTCTCAGCGTAATGTGTTCTTTGATTTTCCTCTTCTTCTTTAGCTTCGAGAATTCCAAGTGAGGGTGTGACACAGTTGAGTGATTTCCTCAATATGTGTCCTAACCACTTCCAACACTTCTTCCTCCTCTGGAATCTGGTTTGTTCGCTTTCGCACAGTAGGTTGTTACTGATAGTGTCTGGCCAACAGATCAGAAGTGTTTTGCATAGACAACTGTTAATAAACACTTGTATATTCTGTATGATGGCTTTTGTAGTTCGTCAGGTTTTCACGCTATACAGTAGAACTGTCTTGACATTAGTATTGAAAATCCTAACTTTAGTGTTGGCTGACAGACAGTCATTTTGAGTTCCAGATGTTCTTCAATTGTAAATATACTGCTCTTGCTTTGCCGATCCGCGCCTTTACATCTGCATCATATTCACCGTGTTCATCAATGATGCTAACGAGATATGTAAATGTGTTTACACCTTTCATAGTTATTATTGATTAAACGTTGGAAAGCTTGAGATTGTAATTAAATAAAACTGTAAGACCATAACACCGAGTTATGCCTTTTCATGAGTATTTGTCAATGACAAACTCCGAAATTTGGACCTTCAATTGAGTTTTGAACAAGACAAATCACACATCTTTAGTGTCAACATCATAAGATTGTTTAGAAGAATTAACATATAAATATATAACGTTCTGTCATAATATTATAATACAATAACATGAAAGATGATCTAGACTATTCTGCGACTAGACTTCATACTTGATCAATATACTTGCTACATATCAATTGAGACCACGTTATACCAGATATACAATTTAAGATCAAATATAGCAATCTAACAGTTTATTCATATATCATGAGTCAAACCCTAATTTGAGATCCTGAAGGGAAATGGAAAAGAGGAAAGCCGAAGAACATTCCACGTCAGGAATTTTAAGTAGATATCACAAGGATCAATACCAATTGGAAACAATTGAAAAGGATAGAGTTGGATGGAGAGTGCTGTGTGTGCCATATGTCACTCTAGGAGGGGTAACAGGCGTAAGTAAGTAAGTAAACAATGGATTCAATACAGTTACAATCAGTCTACATTCAATGATTCTAAACTATTTCATTCATTTGTAATTGTAATTTATTCTTTTTGTTTTACACATTTTACTGGTTAAAACAACAACAACAACAACAGGTTCTTCAGTTCGACGTTATGCACAACGATATGAATGTTGTGATTATGATTTTGTTGATGTAAAAATTGCAATTACACTACAACGACGTGCACTTTATTATGTATTTAATCTTATTGTGCCTTGTTTATTAATATCTGGTATGGCATTAATGGTATTTATGTTACCACCAGATGCAGGTGAAAAAATATCATTAGGTAAGTAAATATAATTTTATGTTAAGAATTTTTTTTTGTAGTTTAATCTTACTTACGCCTGTTACTCCTCGTGGAGGAGCATAGGTCGCACTAATGCTTTTCTTCATTTGCTTGTTTGCTTCTATGTATTCAGCTTGTGTTTGGACTTTCTCTACTCGTGTTCGACTGTTGTTAATTGCTGTCTTCTTGTTCTTCCTTTCTTTGATCTTGTCCAGTGTTTCTATAGAGATTCATTCCTTATAATGATGCTTCTTTAGGCCCAGAACCTCTTGACACGTTAAAGTTAGTGCTTCTTTGATACCTTTCCAGTTGTCCTCCACAGTAGTTTCTTCTTCCTTCAGTAGATCCTGCAAGGCTTGGAATCCGTTGTTGAGAGCTATCGTGAATTCATTGAGTTTGTCAGTATCTCGAAGGACGGCTGTATTGAATCTTTGTAGTTTAATCATCACATTAGAACTGATCAAATAGATTGATTAGAATAGACAGTATTGATAGATAGTAAAATAATAATGATTTAGTTGTTAAGTCATTCAAATATGATCCACTAATCTCCAGGTTAAACTATAAAATAAAACGACGAGACTATAATTTATGGACGAAACAATCAGATATAAGATAATAGATCTCGGATTTTGGAGCAAAGTTCACTCATTCATTTGTCTAAATAGATTTCTGGCATTATAGTTGATGTCAGTTCATGATGAATTAACAATAGAATTCACTATGTTAACATTTGTATTGAATATTCTAACTTTAATATTGTTTGACAGGCAGTTATTGTAATCAAAAGTAATTAGAATTGTACATTTTCTTATGGCGCCGTTTTTTTTTTTTTTAATTTTTTGGTGAAGAAAACTATTCGGATCGATATTGTTTACTTTCTTTTCTTCTTATTGTTTTTTCTAGGTGTAACAATTCTTTTATCATTAACAATGTTCTTACAACTTGTTGCAGATAAACTTCCACAAACATCTGAAGCTATACCATTAATTGGTATGTACATTTATTCTTACAATTTATTCCCTATTTATTAAATCAACTGTTAATAGCATACTACTTATTATAGATTACTTATAAATAGCAAATATATACCAAGAGGAATTTGGTGGAGATTGCAGTAATATCAATGGTGGTCTAGTGGTTAAGCGCCTGGCACGAGACTGGTCCTGGGTTTCAATCCCACGAGGAGGCATCGTGGATGCGCACTGCTGAGGAGTCCCATGCTAGGACGAAACGGCTGTCTAGTGCTTCCAGGTTCTCCATGGTGGTCTAGCTTCAATTGACTCATGATGTCAATCATTGAAATATACCAGATTATTTATTTGTTTGAACGCATAAACATTGGTATAAGGAGGCATCACACCTCATCATTCCATTTGTATGAAAGATGGGATACTGCTGAAACTGATGGAAGTGGTTTCCGTAAGGGGCCACAACTCGAGCTTTTGACTTGCAGGTGTAATCTACAAAACAGTAGAACAACGTTAGGAGAATTAGTGTGATGATAGCCAGTGACCAAGTATAAGTTCATACTCTATTTGTATCTTCAGTATCCTGGAGTTCATGTGAACTATTAGTTGGAATCAGGGTTTTTCAACTTCCCTGGGTGGGTCCTCCGTATCCACCAACCTGGTTAAAGCTCCAGATATTCGATTTTCACCGTGAGAAGGGAGCGAGTACAACTCCTCTGACAGTAGCTGTATACGGGTGGCCACGTGAGAGTATTTAGAGAGGGAGTTTGAACTCTCCTTACCCTCATCTGCACCAGAGCTTCTTTTTGAAACAAAATAGTCAAGAAGTACTTTTCAATGTTTACTTTTTATCAAATTCATTGAATAAACAAACAGTTAAGTTGTATTTCACACTGACTGAACTCAGTTATATTATCACCAAAAACTTAGATTCACTGAATAGCTGCTTTGTCTTACGATGAAAATCAACATCAACAATCTACCTATACAATCGAACTAAAAGAACCTTCAGGTTAAACGGTAATCGCTCAACTATACACGTTTCTAACTTGAATCAATTTATGACAAATATTTCAGAAATCTTTTCATTGTTCATTTGTAACTGCCCCCAAATGCTCTGGTACGGCTGAGAGTGGGGTGGGCCCACCCTCCCTCTCCAAATGCTCTCACATGGCCACGTGTATACAGCCTATACCAAGGACGTCCTACTCACTTTCTTCTCGCACAACGGATGTTGTTTACGAAATTGAGAGGACGAAAAGCGAATGTTCGGTGGGGGCTTTAACCGGGTTGGTGGACATGGAGAGTCCACCTAGATGAGTTGGAAAACCCTGATTCCAAACCAATGGTGCACATGGGCTCCAGGATCCTGGCGTATGAACCAATTGTTGGTCACTGGCTTCCATGGGGCTGAATCTTCTTACGATGCTCCATTGCCTTGTGGATCAGACCTATAGGTCGAAGGCTAGGGGAGTGGCCCCCTAAGAAAACCACCTAATTCGGATTGGGCACCCGGGTAGTATCGCATCCCTCATACAAATCGAATGATTTATGTAGCGCATATCTATTTGGTGCCATTTTGTGCCATTATCTATGTGTTGAAATAAAGTCATTAGTAACTGGTTTCTACTTTAATCATTTCCTCTTCTCTTTTTTTGTTGAATCAAATCACTTTGAACAGGTATCTACTTTTCATGTACAATGTTTATGTGTTCATTATCTATTGTATTTACTGTACTCGTGTTAAATTATCATCATAGATCAGCTGATTGTATTGCTGTTCCAGCTTGGGTAAGTTTTACTTAACTATTCTTCTAATTATTATTGTAAATCAATATTAATAACTTGAAGAGTAGTCCAACTCTTGAATTACTACATTCATCTTTACAACTTCTCATATATCACCTTTCACAAGACTATTTTGTATATTGGAAAGGAAATAGAATATAAGAGCTTAAAATTGTTCTGTAGGAGTTGGTGATTAAGAGTTGATGAAAATGATTTGTAGTTCAAGTGGATGATTTTGATGGAATTTTGTTCTCTGAGTTAAATAGTTTAATCGTGAAGCTTTCATCATTCTTCTGAATAACATCATCAACATACACTTCAGGTAGAAGTGCTGATAATTTTGTTCAAAGGAATAATAAAAGTTTCATGACTAAACTATCCAGCTCAGAGAACAAAACTCCACTAAAGTATGATCAAGAGTGGGGAATTAGAATTAACGATTACACTTCATGTATTTATTAGACTAATTGAAGAATATAAGACTACAATAATTAACAGTAGAATAAAGAGATGTGATCATGGTCAAAGTGATCCAAAGTGATGGGATCGGTTGCATTTTTATAGTGATGTACATAACTAGCGATCATAGTAGGCTAACGAACACTCAATTAGTAATCTACAAATAAACCTAAGCACCTTATAAATTACTATTATTGTCAACTTTAATTTAATGATATAGAAATAATTTTTGGAATGTATTCAGCAGAGATCTTAAAGATTCAGTTAACTTTCGTTGAATATTAACACGTCTTTTATTCGAACTGTATAATATTGACTTCCTTATTTGATGGAAATCTTTTCAGAATTTCACTAACTTCTCAATAACTTTTCAAGGAAATGTCTAGGTCTCTCAACAAATATATTTTTCAATAGTTAAGATCATAAGTCAATTGAAGCTAGACCATCATGGAAAACCTGGAAGCACTGAACGGTTGTTTCGTTTTAGTGTGGGACTCCTCAGCTTATGCACGACCCCTCCTTGCAAGATTCAAACCCAGAACCTATCAGTCTCGCACGCGAACGCTTAACCTTTAAACCATTGAGCCGGCATCCGATGATGTTAATATCTAACTTCAACTAATGCATAAAATTGAGCGACATATCCACCATTGTCATCAATGAGTTACTATCTCACAACAGACCCGGTTGAACTCCAATGGTTGTTGCTTCCCCCTAGAACTCCAGGAAATACATCTTGAAGCCGGTCACTAGTGAGCACATGATGACTGTAACCAGAACGTGGGTTTTGTGAATAGTATAGTCATTTTAATTGTTAAGATCATGAGTCAGTTGAAGCTAGACCACCATAGAAAACCTGGAAGCACTGGACAGCCATTTCGTCTTGTTATGGAACTCTTCAGCACTGCGCATGCACGACGAATTTGTGGTTTAATTCAGTCATCCTAATCAGCTCAGGATTTTATCAATCGATGAAGGTTAGTTGTAACTATATTGAACAGTAGATGGTAATAAGTGGCTGTCAACATAAAATTTCATCTCAGCTTATTACTTTGACTAGGATGACGTAATATATTTAACGTATAATTTTGTTTATTAGTATGAGGTTGTGGGGATTGTTAAGTTTTATGATTAAGATCATGAATCAGTCGATGTTAGACAACCATGGAAAACCTGGAAGCATTGGATGGTCGTTTTGTCCTAGTATAAAACTCTTGAACAATGCGCATCCACGATCCTGGTCACGGGATTCAAACCTAGGACCTACGGTCTCGTGCGCAAATACTTAATCTTTTTGTAAATTCCTTTTATTGACTAATAATCATGATCTTTTTATTGAATTAATTCAGATTAGGAATATTGTCAATACATATCTAGCTAAATTAATGTGTATGGAACCTCCGAAACGTTCACAAATTATTGAAGTTGAAGATATTTCATCATCTATTAGTGATAATTTCATGGAGAATTATCCCAATACAAAAAAGTCACAAAATGAAATACTTATCAAAGGAGGAGGGAGAGGTGAACAACAACAACAACAACAAGAAGGAGGAGGAGGAGGCGAAGAAGAAGAAGAAGAAGAAGAAGATGATGAAGAAGGACATATAGAAGCTAAAGCATTTGTTGGTTGGAATTATGATACTACTAATATGATGAATAGTAATATTCATCCTGTCTATATGAAAAAACATTTATTCACTAATTCACCAATATGTATTAATGGAAATTTGAAAACAACCACATTACCAATGATCAATCAATCAATAAATCATATTGATTATCAATTACAGAATACAGTCAATGAACGTACACCGAAAAATGCCATAGCAAATGTTATTGATTTAGATGATGATTTCCGTGCAACAGCACGTTTTGGCAATACTACTACTACTACTACTACCACTAATACTACTCACACTAATACTACTACTCATATTAATAATAGTAATATCTTCATAAATATGAATGAAAAACAAACAATATTGAATAATAATACTAAATTAAAGATGAATACTGATTTCTTATCATCAGTAACAGTAACAAATCAATCATTAACAGTGCAATCTCCTTATCGATTATACAATTCTGTAGGTAATTTTAATTCAAGTAAGTTAAAAGATAAATATGAGACTGTCATTTATTGGATACTTTTTTCTTAAATGTTCATATCATGTTTTATATGTAAAGACGAATAGTGATTAATAATGAAATACAAGATCCGCGCGTTTCATCCTAGTTGGGACTCGTCAACTGGATGTGTTTGAATCTCAAAGTTGATGTTCACTCTGCAACTTGAACCCAGTCATGTTTACTTCAAACCCGATCACGTTATCCACTTGGTTACTGAGTCAAGATAGTTACTTGTTTGTGCAATAGAGTGAAGTTTTAAATTCACTTAGTACTGTTTACTTGAATCTTTTCATTGATGTTATGAACTAAAACTGATCAGTCTCTTATTGACATGTGTGCATCCTATGCATATTGCCTCGATATTACCTTCATTCACAAGTATGTAAATGTAAAGATGAATAGTGGAATCTGTTACGAGTTAATGTCCGGCTTTTTATCACGTGATTTATCCACCAATCAAAATACGACTTATACAATCCCAGCACTGTGTCAAACCAATGACGTTCGAGCGGTATGAGCATCCTAGCGTCCTTATTCGTCCCATGTCCGCCTAGTCCGTCTACTTGAGTCCAGAACACCAATACCAGCTTCCAATATGCGAATCGAGTCATTTATTTCAGACATACTTGGTTTATATATCAACCAAACAGACCGCAACGCACCATAAAATAGGAAATAACATTCATACACAATAAAGCCAAAAAGTGGCTGTGAACGTGGGAGGCAGTAGTCAATAAACTGGGAATAACTTAAGAACCGTAAATCGTACAATAATAATATATAGTTCAAAATAAAGCTTATAACAAGGGGAATATAGATATACATAATCTAGTTACCGAATATTTATACCATGAGAATATATAAATAATAATAGTCCATTAATAGGTCCCAGCAGAAGTTACTCGTAATGTAATCTTCACTAGGATATAACAGAATCCAGTTTGACGCGCGTTTCGTCCTATTTGGGACTCGTCAACTGGATCTACCTGAATGTCAGTGTTATTAATGATCATGTTAATAATGTCAATTAATCATTAACTTGTCCTATTCACATCTACATAGGAATAATCATTCATTTTTTTGTTGTTGGTATTTTCTCTCTTTCTCTCTGTTTCTATTCAAAAGAATCAGCACCACTAACACCAACATCAACAATAGAACATGTCCAAAATGTATTTCCAGATGAATTCAGTGATCTATCAAAGAATGGTGTATCATTCGATCGACAAATTGAACCAGATCCATTATCAATCTCAATTGATTTATTGAATTTATATAAACCAGATTTAGAAATCATTATTAATGAATTACATTTTATTACAAAAAAATTACGTGATAATGAAAAAGAATCATTAATTAGTTTAGAATGGAAATTTGCAGCTCGTGTGATTGATCGATTTTGTTTAGTTATATTTAGTGTATGTAATATTGTTGTAACATTTGCTATATTATGCTCAGCACCAAATTTAATTGCTTCTTTTATGCCATAATAACTTGAATTGATTTTTTGCTACTTTTATTGTTGTTGTTTTTTTTGTTGGGGTGGGGATTGAGGGTTGGGGGGTGGAGGGTGGAGGTGGATGGGGTGATCAAATTGTTCCTGTTACTAAGTATTAATATGAATAGCTTATTTAAGATTCTTTCTTTTGTTTTTCTTTTTCTTTCTTCTTTTCTATTTTGTATTCAAACACCAAAATAGCCTTAATTGAATGTTGAAAATAAACAAATATAATTAGTTGATAAATGTTCTTCAATGAACATTATCCGGTTATGATATATACATAATAATAAACTTTAAATCTATAATCTTAATACATATGTTGAGAAGAAGAAGAAAAAAAAAGAGAGAAAAAGATTGAGATCATGAATTGATCAATATTAGATCATGATTAATAACTTAGAAACAATATTTGATCGATTTCTGATCTGTAAACAGAAAATATCAATCATTATCATAATCTTATATTGAAAAGAAAAAATGATTTCATTGAATCATTTTATAGAAGTATTGATTATTTTTCTTCTTCTTCTTCTTCTTCTTCTTCTTCAGATAAATGTCTTCTTGAAATAGACTGATCTAGTTAATATAAAATAAAAGTATAATATTTATTAGAGATTTTCTACTTTTTTCAATCTTCATTATTTCTCATTTCATAAAGATGTAATTGATCATGATGAATTATTCAGTTGCTATGGATACAATGAAAACGTTTAGAATTTCGAGTAATTGTTTTTTTTTCTGTTTGTTTATATGAATTGTCTTTTTGTTCATTATATGTAGATATTGTAAACTTGAATGACATATTCAATAATCAATATGTGAATTAGTGTATTTATTGTTATTCTCCCCCCCTCTTCCCCTCGTACACACACACACACACACTTTATCTTTGTGTTTTTTAACGAGTTTGAAATGTTACTTCCAATGGTGTACTTATTTAGATTTGAGTTTCTTTTTTTTTTTAGGAAATTATAATAAAAAAGAATAATTTCGTGATATTCTTTCAATCAATTGTCCTCTTTTATGACGATGATGATGATTAGGTCTCTGACATAGATGGTTAAATGATAGAGTTTTCATTATCATTCTGTACATCTTCAGTGCTTACTTTCTGTAAAGGTAATATATAAAAGAAAGATTGTGTATAAGGATATAGTACAGGAAGAAAGAATTAGTTCATAGAAAGAAAGATATGAAGCGATTTTAATCTCTTAGTTTAAGGGAAGACAGTGAGTGTATACACCGACGCCATTGTGATCGATTCTGAACCATGTCACCAACAGTCTCCAACCATTGATTACGATTGTCACGCGGACCCCAACCAAGTAGTCTGCATCTACCAACATGGCTCAGACTAGAAGTTAGTGACTTCAGGCACTGATGCCACGTTTTGGTTTGGCCGCACCCAACTTTCTTCCAACCATCTCCAATACCGGTTAGCATTGCACGTCGTGGTAATCGGTGTTCAGGCATACGTAATACGTGGCCCAACCATCTCAGTCGATGAAGATTCACAACCTCATCAACTGATTTACCATCATTCCCTAATACCCTGCGTCTAACCTCACTATTACTTACCCGGTGATCCCAGCAGATGCCAGCAATATTTCTAAGGCATCTGTGGTCAAATACTAGTAGCTTACGAGTGTCTTCTACTCTTAATGGCCATGTTTCGCTGCCGTATAGTAGAACAAAACGAACTGCCACACAGTATACTCGTCCTTTTATTGATAGACGGATATCTCGCCTTCGCCAAAGGTGACGTAAGTTGGCAAAAGCCAAGCGAGCTTTTCGAATCCGTGCTGAGATTTCGTCAGACACCAACCCATTAGGGCTGATCAGACTTCCAAGATAAGTGAAGTTGTCAACGCGTTCGACTACTTCACTCCCTATCCTTAGTTCAGGTGTTGACGCAGACCAGTCCTGAAGCAACAACTTGCATTTCGAGGGAGAGAAGCGCATTCCAAACATTCTGGCATTGTTGCTTAGTGCTACCAGAAGACTCTGCATTTTGTCAGCGTCTTCACCAAACAGGACTATGTCATCTGCGTATTCTAAGTCGATAAGTGGACCTCCTGGATAGAGATCAATACCCGAGAATTCAGTCGACGAGAGTGTTATTTCCATCAATAGGTCTATGATGAAGTTAAACAAAAATGGAGAAAGTGGGCAGCCTTGACGGACACCACTTGAGGTTGCAAAAGTAGATGACAGTTCGCCATAAGCCCTGACTCGACTAGTAGTGTTCGAGTAAAGAGCCTTCACAAGGTTTATGTACTTCTGGGGTACGCCTTTCAATGACAGACACTGCCACAGAATCTCGCGGTCCACAGAGTCAAATGCTGCTTTTAAGTCGAGAAAGACCACCATTATCTGACGCCGATAGGTATGCCTATGTTCTAGAACCTGACGAATGGTGAATATGTGGTCGATGCAGCCACGACCAGGTCTGAAGCCAGCTTGGTTTTCTCGTGTTTGCAGTTCACGAGTCTTAGTGAGGCGTTTGATAATTATCGAGGCTAGTATTTTAGATACTATATTTGTTAAACTAATCCCTCTGTTTGTCACAGGATGATTTTAACCCTTTCTTATATATTGGGACGATAAGTGATTGCGACCAGTCAGATGGGATAACGTCTGACTCCCAGATACCATTGTACCATTCAACAAGTACAATGGTATCATTTGTTCATTCAAACACCACAATATTCCAAGGTAATTTAGCGTTCCTCAACGTCATCCATCTCACCGTTATAATTTCTTTAGTCATTATTTCAGGATTGAAACTAATGAGTCTTCATCTAGTACATTTGCCAACTAAGCGGATCACCACAAGTTATGAGTTGGAATTTGAAACAATAAGCACTAGGTTCTTGTTTCGTTATGAGTATCAACGTTTAGAAGAAAGTATATTGACTGACGAATTTCAAATAAAATGAAATATATGTCCAACAGTTAATTTTTTTTACATAGCTTGAATATGTTCCAAACTACTTGTACCGAATCAACGCTGTTCGGAAGATCTAGAACACTCTTTGAAAAAAAGTCAAAAAGGCTCTGAGCACATTGAGAAGCATCTTTTCCAATTAGCATTCAATAGAAGTTTGGCCAGAAACAACAAGAAAAGTGAAAAGTCACATGTTACGTTTCTGATTGAATGATTACCTATACTGCTACTATGTTTGGTAGGGTTCCAGAAATTACCGGAAACTCAAAACCAGCCAAAATATTATAAATACCCTTGATTTTCTATGCATAAGCGAACCTTTGGAGTAAAGCTACTCTTCTATATCACACACCTTTTCTCTCGTCTTCAGGTCACTGCGTAAATTTAACCTGAGGGTTACCAGAAGAACTTAGGAACTGAATCTAGCGTTCAATTGAAAGACTTATTAAGTACTTTCGTAAAATCTCCAAAACTATCTACAAAACAGTTCAGTTCTATTCCTAAATAACATAAATTGATCATCCGTTGCATTGTACCTTTTAATTTCTTACGAAATGATATATAACAAAAAGATTAACTTCAAATTCATTTGCTGAAATTTTACAAGTACATCCTTCCATTTTCATGTCTCACATCAAATCAGCTCCAAATATTGTGAAAGTAATCGATTAAATTAAGACGAAATTTCTTATATTTAATAGGTTTCTTACTTTTATTAAATTCATTCTAGTATGGAACTCCTCAGTAGTACATATACACAGTTCTGCACGCGGAATTTGAACTCATGACCTTCGGTCTCGCAAGCGAATGCTTAACCTATAGACTATTGAGGTAACCGACATTGAACGGTTTTAATGTCTAACTTCAACCAATTCACGATATTGTGCCATCGTTCACTAATGTAAATCCCAACTCAGAACGAAACAGCTGTTCATTACTTTCACAACTCAGCTCCCAAATATTGTGAAAGTATTCGATTAAATTTAGACAAAATTTCTTGTATAACAATAAAGAACATTCATTTAAATATTAACATCATTATAAGTAATTCAATTTCGTAATATGACTTTATATGTATTAAATATTAACATTTAAATATGTAATCATATCGTATAATGAAATTAATGGGAAAAACAAAAGCAATTTCCAATGGTAAACATTAAAACCCCTAGTAACATACTCTCACACACACACACAGAAAGAGAGAGAGAGAAAGAGAAAGAAATAAAAGAATACCAGCATAAGTTTGTTTTCTTAGAATAATCCATAAACAGTGTAAAAATTGAAAAACGGAACAAAAAGTTGAGTGCTCAACATAAGTTATCATATATAATACCTGCATACCTACCTACATACATAACTACATACTTACATGCATACATACTTACTACATACAAACGCACGCACATACATACATGTTTACATACATAAATAAACACACATATACATACTCACATACATACACACCTACATACTTACATGCATACACACATACATACATACATACATACATATTTACAAACATACAACATACTTACGTACACACACATACCAATTTACATACATACATACATATATACCTAGATACATACATAGATATTACATTGGTTGTGATGGTGCACCTCTTGATGTGAATGCTTTAATCACAGTTGGTGCTGATGTTAATATCCCTAATGTAGTAAATAAATTTAATGCAGTAAATATTAATAAACATAAACGATCTAATACACGACATGCTAAACGCCATTGATTTGATGTTTTTATTTCTTTATCTTTATTATGCATATCAGATGTAATAAAACGTAATTCATTAGAAATTTGTTTTAATTTTAATAGAATTATATCAAATTTCATAGAATCATTATTATTATTCTGTTTGAATGGACTAGAACTACTTGGATCAGTAATTCTATTTGGAGATGAAAATACTGTGGATCTTGATGATGATGATGACGCCGACGACGACGACGATGCTGGTGGTAGTGGTGTTGGTGATGAAGATAATGATGAATCTTGTGGAGATTCATTAGATGATGATGATGATGATAAATGAAATCTTGGGATTGTTTTATTGAAATATTCTGAAAAGAGATTATCAATGTGATTAAATTAGTTGAATTTATATAATATCAGGGAATAACAAATTTAAACAACTCATATTGTTGTTTGACTTGAATCTTCCCATTCTTGTTTAGGACAACAATTGATCAGTCTCTTTTATTGGCATATATGCATCCTGTGTGGATAGTCTCTCAATATTACCTTAGGTCACAACCATTATGAACAAAGATGGATAGCAGCTAACAGTGAAATCCAGTTTGACACGCGTTTCGTTCGACTTTGGACTCGTTAACTGGATGTACCTGTATCTCATAGTTGATCAATTACAGTTTCGAATATCAATGGGAGGATTCAAGTAAACAATTTAAATTTCACCCTATTGCACAAGCAAGTGGCTATCAGAATTCAGCAGCTAAGTGAATAACATGATGGTGTTTGATGGGTTCGAGTCCCAGAGTGAGCATCAACTGTGTGATGCAGTTGCATCCAGTTGACGAGTCCCAAATAGGACGAAACGCGCCTCTTGGATTCCA